AAAAAACAAGTTCTGAATGAAAAGGGTGCAGAGTAGACATGGGACGGTATGATAACCTTGGGGGAAAATATCACGGTATCATGATATGATTACAGCTCTAAAAAATTTATTTTGAAATTGGTGTTTAAAAATAAAATAACTTTTCTTCTATCGTTATAAACTTTAATTATTGTTAGAAGCTGTTTTATATCAGAGGTTTTATGCTGAAATTGTATTTACCTTTGTGTTCAAACTTATGATTTTTAGCACCTAATCCTACCTATTCTGATAAAGTTTGTATCTAATAGGATAACTGCTTTTCTACTGCTTTATTAGTTAAGACAAATCAGTGTATACTGCACAACGTCTTTTTATAGAAGTAGTTTATCACATTGGGAGTTTTTAATGTGTTTTAAATTTCAAAGGGTTGTTGAAGTAAAGATTATATAATTATATGCACATAGAAACAAGAAATCACAATTATGAACATGTGTTCATGAAACACATGTTCAGCTAAAGAGCTGCTTGGCTAAAGCTACTGAGGCATTCAGTTTTATCTCCTTTCACTTAAAACTTATCAAATACACAATCCAACAACTCCAAATTGTGACTGAAACAATATGTCACAGCCAAACGGTGAAAACTAACAGTTTCACTAATGTCTGCTAATGTTAACTCATTCATTTCAAGTTCATTTCTATGTATCTAGAGTTGTTTCTTTTCTGTTTTACAGTGTTCTTGGGTGTCCTGAAAGGCGCTTTATAAATAAAATGTGTTGTTGTTGTTGTTGTTGTTGTTGTTGTTGTTGTTGTTGTTGTTGTTGTTGTTGTTGTTGTTGTTGTTGTTGTAAGATATCATCAACTTTACCGGGTGCTGCGATACCATATTTGATGTGTTGCCTCCACTGTTCACAAGACGTTGCTGTCTGTCTTTTTACAGAATCCAAAGTGTTTTCATACAGCTGGCTTTATTCTTTTAGACAGGGAAAAGGTTTGAGGACCTCTGTTCCTTCAGCCATCACACAACCTGCACCCCCACAGAGCTGCCCATCTGAGAGCAGCTCTGTGGGGGTGCACAGGGGAGGGGTCGCGGGGAGGGGGAGTCYSCAGCTGCACAGACCGGAGGAAAGATAAACAAAATACACTTATAACATAGGAACAGTATGACAGAAAATTTTAGTGGTTTTGAACCCGTAACTTCTTCATATCACAGTATACAGTGAGACCAGTATCCGGCCCATGCCTACAGCAGAGTGAAGAAAAAAATCTTATATCTGCCCCATATTTAAAAAAAAAAAGAATAACTTCAAACTCGCTACAGACTTGAACTTAAACAATTTATAAAAGAACAAACAAAAACAAATAAAGTGTCTTTTATCTTATTTCCGGTCAACATTACATGTTTTCCCAATAACTTTGATTTTATCGCCTTTTTGAACATATAGATTGTTTTGCAGGTTTTTATAGTAATATTTTATTTAGTTTATTTAGTTAAAAAATTATTTCAAACAGATTAAAAAAATAAAAATAAAAAACAAGCAATCGGTAGAACAAAAAGATGAAACATATGCATACCCTCCCTTTCATAAAACATTTCCTGAAGATGTTTAGGGAACAAGTTGTAACGTATTTTATACATACTGTAAATAGTAAAGTTTGATATTTCACAATGTCCAGCAATTTTAATAAATTAGCCTGAACAAATAAGGGATTTGTGTGTAAGACAACTAAAATATCTAGATAGTTCCATAAACTTGTTCCCTGAACTGTAATACATCGCTCCTTCAGACGAGTTCTAAATGGAGGTTTAACGAAAATCTCCTGTCCCTTAAGATTATAGTGACTCTCTCCCTTATAACAAATTTTAACTGGATATTTACAGGTAATAATGTTTTAGGGATCCTATGCATAACTTGCAAAATATTAGAATCAACCAGATCATAAATCTTCTATGGTTTGATGACCATAATGTTTTCTGCAAACAATTTTTACTGCTCTTTGCTGTAAAATAAAAATATTAGTAATAGTTTTGCAAGCTTTTCCCCAAACCTCCAGACAATATATTAAATGTGGTACAATCACTGAATTATATAATATATGCACTGCTTTAACTCTTTCACTTTATACAATATTGCAAT